ATCGGCGCAATATTATTGATCCAAGTGGAGGCAAAACATTTTCTTCTAATAGTCTTCTTATCCAGTAATGAAATCTAGTAATGAAATTACAATACATCCAAGATGTAAGCGAGCACAAATCTTCTTACGGATAAGTTGATGCACGTTGATTATCTATTAAATTTATAATTATTATAAGAATAGAACTTAAACCAAACGCATCATATATCTATACATTTGTGTTACCAAGAAGGTAATATAAAAACATAAATAAGTTAAGTAATTAAGTTAAGTTTATTTGTCGATTGTGAAATATTCCTCGACACACACGCGCAGAGATACATGCATTCATGTGCGTTAAAAGAGATATTCAAAGAAAATATTATAAATACGTTAAAGTATGGGCATTTTATTTTCCATTCGCATTTCAATTTTTGTTAACGAAAACTCAATTTGGGCTGATATTCCCAATGGATTTAACGTGGACAGAAACAACACGTTAAGTGAAAGCCCATTTTTTTATAAAACAGACAGAATACTTGTATAATAATATACATCATATTTCAATCAATATTTCTTTGAAAATGTTGTATCTTAGATTATGATTTTTCGTAAGAGTTCCTTATGCATAAGGAATTGTTTAACGTAAGAATAAGAGATTACAAAAGTAATCGAACATGCCAAATCTTACATTTATTATATAATTAATTTTATGTAAATATATGTACGCCTGTTTCCTTTTTGCTACTTCCTGTTTGCAAGAAACGGCTATGCATCCGGCATGTATGCATAATTTTTTATTACCATAGGTTTTGACTATTCGTATACTGATAGAAAAGCGCTTCCACTAGAAAGAAAACGATCTTGATATTAAAAATCAAGTAGACTTGATTTTTCGGAATGGAAGTTCTAATGTTCCAACGGATTCCTAATGTTGATAATCTTAGGACAGGACTAGTATATTCAAAGTAACATTTAGGTGGAAGAAATATTATGTTAAAAAGGAAATGTTAGAAAATATTCATTATTCTATGATATTAACATATTCACTGTCATATATAAATTATAATTTCAAAATAATGATTGTCATGCATAATCTTTAAAATCTTTAACTGATCTGATAGTATATTTCGTTTATTATTTATTGCACATCACTTTTGATTACAAACTTTCAATATTAAATGTTTACAAATGAATATTTGCGAAAGACTGAATTGATCGGTAAGCTAATATCTAATAATAACTATTTGAATTAGTAAATCAGCATACTTTCCATAAACAACCATAAAAAAAATACGTCCTTCGTATTATATAGTCCTAAATATCCTTTAATGCAACGAATAATAAACGAGTGACTTCAGACAGTAACGTTGAATAATTCACTTTGATTTTTCCGCAATAGATTTTATGAATAGAATGCTTTCTACAAGCTCTAACAAACATAGGGAGCTTTCCAGCTAAGAAACACAATTAAACAGTGTCAAACACTAAACCATTGTGTAAAGCTGTTTGCTGGAACAATTTGATTCTCGATATTGTCAGTAAATTGCGCTTTAAACATTAAATATGATTTGTTTCCTCAAGGACCAAATAATTTGTTTCCTCAAGAAAACAAATCATATTGTTCATATTATATATAAATCATATTGTATTATTTGTTTCCTCAAGGTTGCCAAATTTTTATAACATATTAATTTTGATCTTTTCTAAAGTTGATAGCCATGTACTTGATACACAAGCCGCAATTCAGCTTTTAAGCTGTGTATACTTGTGTAACGTTGTGTCGTTGTTAGAAAGCACTGTGTTGAGCACTGTGTCATTTTGTGTCGCCTATCACTTGCTGGAAAGCTCCCATAATTATCAAAACTCTCTGGATTGAGATTGGTAGTGAATAAGTTAATACGAAATCTTTCTGATTTTAATGTTTAACAATTGTATATTGAAAAAGAAAGAGATGAATTTGTTTTAAAGAGAGAAATTTTAAGACATCGTTGATAGAAATCTTTGTTATTGAGACAAAAATTGATTGTTATCGAGAATTTTTATTTATACATTATCTGCTAAACAAATTTCTGATATAAATATGTATCATTTATTAAATATATAATTATAAATCTCTGTTTTAAGTGGCGAGTGATGGGAAGAAAAATTCAGATCTCGTATGTCATCAGTCAAATATCAGAAACGAACAAATTTTCCTTTTCTCTTGTTCGAATAACAGAAATTAAGAAAAGGTTATTTATCATTTATTTATAACGAATGTAATACTCATAATTATTCATAAAAGTAATCGTTTATTTGTTTACGAATGAACATGAAAAAACAAGAACATCATTGGAGTATTGATGCTGATGATTTTCGATACATATTGCGTAGTGTTACGCACCATGTATTATTTGCAATATCTATGCGAGCTTTAGATAAACAATGTCAACGTAGGAAACATACGATAAGTACTTCGTATAGAAAAGAGGCTTTTATTTTCTATTTTTCGTTAAACGCAAAACCAAATAAAAAGAGTCTCGTAAAAAGAGATCTTTTCTCGGAAAGAGTAAAATGTATTAGTTTTATTCATATATGTTTAATTTATATATATGTTTAATTTTATAAATAAGATAATTGTCCTATATTATAAATCATTTGAGACTATAATGTTTTGATATGTCAAAAAAAGTGTATAAAGAATTAAATATATCTTTTGCATAAAGACTCTGAATTTTTAGCTATCACATTTTACCATAAAGACGATTTTTAATCGTATAAAAAATAATTATTTGAATTTTAATAAATGTTTATTGATGGCCTAGTCGTAAGTCACGCATAACTTTCTTGTCTCAACATTACATATAAATGATAAATAATTTATTGCTTCAACTTCGCAGTCAAATTTAATTTACAAATATTTTCTTGACTACACACAATCATATTTTATATCAATCAACTTTAATTTATCTATTCTTACACTTTATTCTAATTATTCAAACAGTACATAAATGTAATATCCGTATATCTTTTGTTTGGCAGACATGCACTTTTTCTTACTGTTGACATTTACCCTGGAAGTTAAACAATAAACATCGTGGTTGCAATTCTTTTGAAAATTTTTTGGAATATTATATAATTAAATTAAAGATGTGATATTTTATTAATAAGTAGCGTGATGTGTAATAATATTATGTTTCTTTAATATTTATAATAATTATTTAATAAAATAAATTAAAAAACAGAAATGATTTACCACTGGGACATAATTTACAACTAGGACAGTTATCTTACCGTCACACTGGCCTACAATTCTAATGAAACCATCGTCCGCGCTCAATATGTTAAATGTCGCGGATGCGTATGCATATATTTAAGAATATGCAATTATTTATCCAAAGAATGAGTCTTTAAAGTTTTACGTACGTACGATTTAAAATATTTTAATTATAGATTAGGCAAATATATAATCAAACTTTTGTTTAGAACATTTCTAGAGCCATACAGTTTTGATAATGCAATCCATATATTTTTCCTGTGCCAGAGTTATCCATCATAATTTGATAAGATTAAGGATCTTTTAAAAATTTAGGAACTGCAATTAAAGACTGTTGTAATGAAAGAAAGTGTTACTGAAAGGGATGAGCGTGTGTGATCGAGCATTTCTGTGAAATCACGTTGTGGCTCACGTTTTGCGAATACAAATAAAATAGAATGTGCCAAAAAAAGAACGCATAAATCTGTTTCATAACGACATTCTGAGCTTGAAGATATAGTTTAGGCTTTTTCGTGCTACATGCAAGTGTTCTTAAAGTGAATACCGACCGATAACGATGACCGTGTCGTCAATCTCGAAAATGCAATATAGCAGCCTGTGTTTGTAGACACATACATCGAATTGAATTTCTATCGAAGTGCGTGTGAGTGCGAATATAGACATATGTATCATATATGCCATACCACACGTGCGTACCTTAATTACATGTAACAATAAGAGCTTCTTGTCGGTAGGCCACGAAACATTGGACACGTGTCTCTCAGCGCTCGTGCAACAGTATTACGTACGCGCCTGTCATTTATTGACTTCTGAACTTCGCAAATCCGCGATTTACAATGTAACTATTTGTTGAAATGCGTTTAACGCTGATCTGTGCTGAATGTTAATGCGATATCGGATATTTTATGCGATTGATCTTGGACTACGTTGGCAGATATTTTCATAAATCCCTTTTGTACAAAGTGCCGCGCAGCGCAAAGCGAAATCTAGATCGGCTGGATCCACTGAAATTCCACAGCTGTGAGACATATTTTGTAATAGACGCGATGATGAAATTAACGAAAGGAATCTACGATTCATATGTTCGTTTCTATTTTATCCCGGTGCATGCAATGGAAAGAAGCCTGTACGAAATAGGAAAGACGTATTTATTTTTATACAATGTCTTCTTCACGGTTCAATCAGCAAAGTGAATTATATTCTGTATATTATACGATCATTATATGATATTTATTTCATATAATTTCGTATAAATTTTCTAACACAGCCTTCCAGATATTAGATGTGATATACTTTGAGGGAAATGATTTAAAATCCGTTCGTTTTCGTATAGCTGTATATATAGACGTGCTCCCGATTATTCTTGCTTCATTTCAAATTATGTGGATTTATAAAATATACACTAATGTTATAAAAATCATGCTATTTCACTTTATTATTCTCCCTTCAAACCATGACGATAATAAAACGATAATAAAGCTAAAATATTTATAATGTAATATTAATGATGGCAAGATTATAAATGATTATAAATGACAATAATGAAAACGAAATGATAATGGCAATAATAACATTAACGTTGATTTATAAAGTATATTGCACTTATATCTAAATCATAGATCGTAATATTGCAGTCTTTTAAATTAAGTGCATTTTGATCCACAGCCGAGATATATGGCAACGATTTTATATCATGCTTACGATTGCACATATAATTTTTGCACGTATATCGAACATTGAGCAACAAATATGATGTATCTTGTCGATGGAGCAATATTTAACGATTTTAGGCAAACGATATCAGATGGATATCAGTAACGAAACGAAGATCAACGTATCAGGCGGTGAACTGTCGACGTTTGGTCAATTCGTCGATCAGAGCTGAGACATCCGGATAACGATACAGGTTGGTGACTTGATATTTGGTATTGCTGGGATCAGCGCCGGCCTTCAACAGTATTTTCATGGCGTTGATGAATCTGCTCTCGGCGGCGACCTGCAGCGCGGTTAAGTCGTCGATGTTGACTTTCTCCAATTCAGCTAAGGGCGAAGTGACCAACAGCCCTACCGTTTCATAAAATCCCCTCGCTGACGCGAGATGCAACGGGGTATTCCCGCTGATGTCTTGCTTGCTGGGATCCTCGCCATGCTCCAGCAGTTTCTTCACCATATCGACGTGATTCTTCCGCGACGCTATATGCAACGGGGTCTCGCCGTATCGCGACGTTATACCCGTCGGTGTGTGTGGTATCAACAGCATTGCCGTATTCAACGTACCACACTCCATACTCTCGTGCAGAGCGGTCTCTCCGCGGTCATTCTTCAACGTAGTGTCTACACCGGCAGCCAAAAGCGTATCAATTAGCGTCGCGATGTCAGTCTTGTCATTATTATCTGTAAAATAACAACATGTCATTTAAAACTTTCATGAAATAAGCGAGAGCTTGTTATTTGAAGAGTCATGCACATCGATGCCATTTGTTTCAAAGAAGTTATACATAATAGAATTTAGAAACATAAATATAAAATGGCATATTTTAAAATTTTTATTTACAAAAATGTCAGGCATGTCTAGGCTTTTGAATTGAATTTTTTTAAACACTAGAAAGCTATAGAGAGACTTACAAATAATAAATCAGTTTACTGAATAAAATTTCAATTTGGACATATAAATACGAGGATATGTAATGGATAATATGTAACGTTAACAACTGAAAAGTTAATTAAATGATGACGCCTCGACATTTTCGTCAAGGAAAAATTCATCAAGGGAAAGATTCGGAACCGATCGAAGAATCTATAATTTAAAGAAAACGAAGATCATTCATTTCACGTATTTAGATGATTTCATTATAGGCGTACCGAAGACAGTCGACGATGCTAAAATGTGCAAAGCGCTTCGACCCTGATGATCTTTGGCATTTATAGGTCCTGCCTTCGCCATCAACTCCAGCGTTTTCACGGCCGCTTTGAAATGGTGACGAAGGGATTTTAATGGTATGTGAGCCAGTTGACGAGAGAGCAAGTGCAACGCAGTTGATCCGGTGCCGGCCAATTTGGCGCTAGTCGGGCAACCATATTTTAAGAGCTCCTCCACACAGTTCAACACGTGATCTGGTTCGCCCTTCAAGATTACTCGATGAAGCGCCGTTTCACCCCGCGGCGAGCGTACAGCTGGATCGCACCCGTTCATTAGCAGCGCACTATAACCCAGCAAATAAAATTATGTAAGAAAGATGTTTTTACGCATAAAATTATTTTTAACATTTATTATAGCTGAAATAATAATTGATTGAAAGGATTGAAAATTTTTAACATGTTATTATATGCTGCAAATACAACACGAAAATAAAATAATACTGTATTGCGTACGTAAATATTTTTAGCCTTTACTACATCAAATTATCAAAGAGGATTTTTACGATTTATGTAGAATGGTACAAAACTGCCGAGAAATATCGTAGGATTATGTACCTCTCTTGATGCTATCTTGTTTTAAGAAAAATATTTGTCCCGACGATTACACAGAGATATTTTTTATATCTAATCATTAAAAAATTTATAGATTTTTGATATCACGAATAGAGGCATAGTGTTGTCTTAAAAAAAAAAAAAATCAACGAATATTTATAATAGAAAATTAAATATTCAAAAGAAATTGTACGAAATTAGACTCAGGAAGCTCTAAACCGCGATTTACGGGAAGGAAAGTTACGCAAAAAATGTAATCTTATCTAAAGAGACCAAATACATGATAAATGAGGCGATTGCATTCTACAATTTTAAGAGATTTACCTAAGCAAAGGCAGGCAACAACTCGTCGCTGCCATCAAAAGGGGTGGATCGCCCGAGCTGTTCCAATCCGGTTCATCCAGGTTTTGCACGCAACCGCTGGCGAGCAACGCCAAAGCACGCTTGGTGTTTCCCGATCGCATGGCATTGTAAAAGCTAATTTCATTCTGATCTTGCTTCTGGGTCATCCAGGCTGTGTGCTGGGGAAGCAACTCGAGCCTCGTTGTTATGGCCTCTTGTATTCGTTTTGCCAGTGCATCTTCGGATTTCTCTTCGTCACACGCATGTCGTTCTTGTATCTCCAGCATGTCCCGATTTTTTTGATCCTTATCGAGATCCTTGATCTGATCCTTGACCTGTTCCTGTCTCGCGCACATGGAAGCGCTTTCTGACGCGGTATTATCCATCGATGTTACTGATGTAATCGATTCCCTCTTCTCCTTTTCATCTTCGAGAAGCGATTCCTCGTTTTTGGATCTACGCGAAATATCCAAATTTGCCAAATTTCTAGAATCGCCAGCGCATTCCTCGTCTTTACCTTCATTCTCCTTCTCGAACGCTCCCGAATCTCCGTCGAGTGATTCATTGGGTAAAACGCTGACTTTCGTAGAAGAAATTGTGGATTCTTTGAAAGACGAGTCACCTGTTGCAAGACTACCTCGTGGTAATGACAAGGCGGCTTTTTCCAGCTCATCCAGTTCGCTTTCGAACATCTCGCGGAATATCTTCGCAGTGTCTTCTGCCTCCTTGCATTCTATCATCATTTTGTACGCGGAAGTCATCGCGCCCACTTAATTGGCCCCAATTATTCGTTCACGCAATTGACTCGGCGCGAAATAATACGACGAAACTCGCGTAAGTTAGTCTGCGTACTATGAGAGATTTATTCTCTCAACACTTTATACTCTCAACACTGTGGAACTAACTACGCGTCCGCAATGTAAAATAAGAATCTGTGCTACAATACAAAAAAAGAACGCAGCGGGAGGTCGGAAAAAACCGTACGGAACGAACAGGTAGAATCGAAGCGAGCAAGAGTCACCGGCGCTTCACAACGTTTCACTAAAAGCATGCCTCTGCATGCCTCCATCAGCCGGCTTCTCCCCTTTTTCTTCCTCCTCCACTTCTTCTTGTTTCTCCCTCTACTTCTCCATGCTGCCGTTTTGTATTTCGCATTGTAGCGCGTTTCGCCTTCATTCGGTTGCCTACCCCACTTCACCAGTCTGCGTGCTCTTTAATTCTCTTGGTACGAGCCACGGGTGTCGGACCGTTGGAATTTAGGGCGTCCACGTTGATAAGCAACTGTTGAGTTTATTCGTATTCTTATAGTGTAAAATAACAGTTACATACATTTCTTCAAAATTTCAGAAAGGCACAAAATACTAATAAACTTTCGATCATATTCTACAATTGTTTAAGAAGTTTCTTTAGAAATTTCTTTTTAAAAATAATTTGAAGTCTTACAATATGCAAAAATCCTCAAATGGATATTTGAAATATTCTTCGAGCTGTAACTAAAATGGGCGCGCCTACGTGAAGGTAAACGGACCGACCGACCTAGTGTTCCATGCAGCTCTTCTCCTCAGTTTTCGTTTTTTTCTAATAAAATAGGAAGAAAAGAAAGTTAAAAAGGAAGATCCATTCTATAAAACATAGATGACTAATGTAAAAAAAACTACATAATCAAGAAATCAATTATTTTTTTAAACGCGTTTTTTTTTAGAATTAAGTGACTTCCTAGATTGTAATTGACGAATTTCTCAGATTGCAATTTGAAACATATATTCAGGAAAACAACAGCTTTCAGCTGATTTTCGATTTTTGTTCATATTTTTAATTTATAAAATATAATAACATTATCAAAAATGACAAAAATTCAAAATTTATATTTTTAATTTTCAAAAAATAGAGGAAACTCAATCAGCTAAGAAGGAATATACTATAATTTAAAACTAATTTTTTTCCATTTCAGGACAATCAAAATGATATAATCAATGTTTTCGAACGCATTTTCCCGCAATTTAAACCTAAAAAAATCTCCATTTTTCAAGCCAATCAAAATAAGATAACATCTTAATAAGAATAATTATTAAACAGTTAGAGAGAAATACTTACCTAATGAAATCAAAATAATTTACTTTGTCCTACCTTTGTCTCATTACAAATTTTAAATATGTACTCTGTACTCTGTGTAATATTTTTTTTCTCCATCATAAAGTCAATTGTTGTTAATCAATACCTAGAATACCTAGAAATAACAGATGTGATATATCGAGTCATTAAAAAAAATTGAATCAATTAACAGTCCTACTTTATCAGTTATTCATTAGGTCCTCTGTACAATATAATGCACTTCAAAATATTCATAAATTGGATCACACTGATCGCTACGCCTATTAACTCGCCGCTTCACTGTCGTCGAGTACTGATGATGCAAAAAATTTCATGAGAGAAGTAAAACTTGGCGTCACCGCGTCGTGATCGCGATCAGACACGCAGATGTATAAACGGAAGGAGAAATTTTTACGAGAGGCGTACTTGTTTGATGTGGGAACTTGGGATTTCGGCTAAACAATGGACATTGAATGTACAATCCAACGCAAACATGTCTGGAAAGCTATCATTTTTATTGAATATCGGTTACAGTAACTTAAATGCGAGCAGTGAACATGAGCAAAGAACTTTAAAAAAAAAAACCCGCGTAGTCAATAAAATAACATTGCATGTTTCCTTTCATACAGAATCTTTTGTTTACATGAAGCTGTTAATGCTATTTATAATCATTAAGAACAATATGCAGTAAGTGCATATATCAAGTAAGATAGACTGATCTTCAATCGAAGGAATTGCAGCTTTCTAGTTAAATTATAAGGGAATCCGATGTGAATCATTAAATCCATATCCGCTGAAACAAAAATTCGTGATGTATCATATTCATTCAACGATAATAACAAGATAAGCAAGATTGGCGACAATGCTTACCATTTATCTGCTTCGTGATCTGGAGCCTGATCGAGACTTCGATTTGCTTCGATCTTTGGAAACGGTCTTCCGTTTCTTACGATACTTATCCTTGGCGGGAACGCTCCTGTTGTGGGATGGGCTGCGTCGTGATGAGCGCGAGCGCGAGCGATTACTGCGGGATCTCGAGCGGGAACGTGAGCGCGAGCGTGAGCGCGATCGCGATCGTGATCTTGATTTTGACTTTGATCGCGAACGGGACCACCTAAAGTAGAGATCATAATAAATAAACATTAAAATAATAACCGTGCACACATTCTTGCCTATTCATTACTACAGAGAGAACACATTAATATGAGAGAGAAACATGATTTTTAAAAACTCAAAATTACTATACATCGGCTTTTATATAAAATATATTATTTTTCAAAACTTTTTACTGACTTGTCTTCTTTTATCATTGATAATAACAAAATCTGATTCTATTAAACCTTCAATTCACACATCTATTAAATACAAGCTTATTAAATGTATAATTTATAAACATTAAAAATATAATCTTTAAATATTGTACTTTCTTTCGAAAATACATATTAATATCATAAATAATATTTAAAAATTCTATATTCTGTTAGTTAATTTTTAAATTTTATATATACATTAAAAGGCATTTAATGAAATTTTTATACAATTCCTATTTGATCGAACTATTCAATTATTTCTATAAATAAATGCAACTACCTTTACGAGTCATGCAAACTTGCTTACATATAGAAATATAATGTAGATTCGCTCATTATTTTCAAAATTCATTCAGTCGCCATATACGTTAGTTCACGTAGATTATATACTTGACTGTACTAAATATATATCATCTTCCCTGGCTGTGCTTACAGCAGACAATTGTGAATTGCGTGCGCGCAATGGCCTATGCCAGGAAGAAAGAGCGGATGAGCCCTTTATGCAAATGAAATTACGAGAGGGTCCGAGATGAACGGATGAAGAGTGGTTAGAGACGGGACCGCTAAGTTTGTCTCTCAGCAATCATTAGGCATTACAACGATGACAACGACGAGGATGACAACGACGATGATGACACCGACGATGCCGACGACGATGATGATGATGATGACGACGACGACGACGACGACGACGACGACGACGATTACAAGGACGAGGATGACGACGATGATGATGATGACGACGACGACGACGACGACTACGACGAAAACGACGACTAGGCAGAAATCACGGATAGCTGAACGAAGAACGCCAGGAGTGCCAGACGTGCATAAACTCTCGATTTAGGATGATGGTCAGTGGTCAGCGGATCAGTATCGTAGCAGTGCGCAGAACTAGCCATCCCGTGTCCGGTTGGCTCGATGTTTTTGCCGCGTTTTCTCGCCCGCAGAGTGTGCAGAGGGATAACCCAAAGTAGATGTGGGGTGCTCTACGCTGTAACTACGACGCGCGGTGTGTGTCACAAACGTGAACCCAAGGCGAATCTCGCGCGACAATGTCGGGGTAGCAACGCACATTTCACATGCGCGCCGCGTGCTGTACGCTCAGCCGCAACTCCTATAAATAACGGGCAATATTACGTTGGCCGTTTTACAACCAGTTTCTTTATGTTTTTGTAGCAATAGCTTTTCTTTTTTTTTACTCTCTACTCAATTGTGTCAAAGTAGTTTATAATCACCGTTACTTAAATAAGGAATGAAACCTGTACAATCTTTTTCATAACTGAGATTGGCACAATAATTGTGATATTGTGACAAATTAACACCTTTGATCAAATAAATCTCTCGTGACTCGATAAAAATTATCTTATTATTAATTATATGTTAAATACATAAAGATATATTTACTCCCTAGTTGTTAACTATCAAATAAAGAATGCCTAATTAAAGGCCAAATAACTAATTTATATTAAACATTAAATTTGCAATTGATAAAATGAACTCTCATCTCTTGATTCACATATAGCAAGAGATAAAGTTATTTCTTTCTATATTACAACCCTTTTCCATTTTGTAACATAGTTCTTCATAGTGCATGTGGGGAAGTAAAAATTCATGTATATGCAATTTATATGCAAAACTTTCTTTTAAACATAACATATAAATAAATTTAATGCATCCAATGCTTAAGATACTTTTTTCTTTTCATATAACAAAATTTATGCAAATAATTATTAATTTCATTTCTAAGACATTACCTTCTTCTGCGAGAAGTTCTATGACGATGACAATCTCTAGCATAATGACCCCTTTCGCCACATTCATAACATTTATCTTCCGGATGAAAGGGCCTTCCAATTCCTCTCCTGGAGAAGCCTCTATCTCTTAATTTCTTTCCATTTGATAATTCCACACGTACACGTCTGCCACACAGAGTACGACCATCTAGCCCTCTCACCGCATCTTCCGCATCTCTAGGATCTTCAAATTCAACAAAGGCAAATCCAGGAGGGTTTCTAGCAACCCAAACATTATGCAATGGCCCATAGTAGGAAAATGCTTCCTCCAATTGTTGCTTGCTAGCACTGCT